TTAAATATATTTGGATGTTCTTCTACATTTTCAAATATATTGATTTAAATTACAACATAGATACAAAGTGTAAATGCTCATTTTATATTATTTTTATTATAAATATTTGCTTTGTAAAAATGATAAAATCTTTTTAAATTCACATCATACAAATACTGTAGTTCAATCTCTTTATCGTGAAAGTGCAACTTACAAATGTAGATTGTTACATAACTACACTCAAAAACAAAACAATGTAAAACTTTAGAGCCTACAAGTCCACTCAGTCCTACTTCTTATTCAGCCAATCGCTAAGACAAACAAGTTTGTTCACATTTACAGGAGATAATGCTGCCCTCTTCTTATTTACGTCACCTGAAAGTGAGAACAGGTGTTCACATGGCACTTTTGTAGCCAGCATTTATGTGCCAGATATGCTAAACATTCATATGCCCCTTCATGCTTTGGCCACCATTCCAGAGGACATGCTTCCATGCGGATGACGCTCATTAAAAAAATAATTCGTGAATTAAATTTTGATTGAACTCCTTGGAAGAGAATAGTATGTCTCCTACTCGGTTTTACCCGCATTCTGCCATGTATTTCATGTTATAGCAGTCTGTAGCTGGGCAGTCACCCCGCTCCGGTCCTGAAGAGGTTAAAACAGCCCCGGGGAGCCAATAGGGTAGGCTGATTGGGAAGGCAGCCACAGCTGGGGCCACGCCCAATTAGGAGACTGCTGGCCCTATAAAAGGGCTGTGAGCCAGGAGGTGGGGCAGTCTCTCTCTAGCAGTGGAGGGAGAAGGACCTAGCTACCTGGGAGCAGGGTACCAGAGGTAGAGCAGTGTTGGGGAAAGGCAAGAGGAGCTGGGGAGCTCCAGCCTGGCAACTCCCCAGGCTGCAGGCCTTGTGCAAGGCCTAAAGGTGGTACTGGGGCTGCAGAGGTGCAGTCTGGGGTTAGGCAGAGGCAGCTGGCCAAACCCCCTTGCCAATGATGAGTGGCCATGACAGACTGCAGTTTGCCCCAGTGAGCAGGGGCTAGATGATGACTGGCAGTAGCCACTGAGGCAAGGTGGGTGAGAGGGTTGGGGGTTCCCCTGGGAGGGGAGACCCAGAGCAGTGTGGGGGTACTGCAGTGGGTGACCCCGAGGTAAAGGACACTAGGGTCCAGGAGGGACACAGGGCCAGCGGCAGGTGAGCCACCAGCCAGCAGAGGGCGCTCCAGACTGGAATCGAGCTAATTCCCAGGATCACCAGCAGGAGGCGCCGCACCAGTGAGTCTCGCATCGCTACACAGTCCCAGATAATGACCCAGCACATGTTGTTTGTTTTAAGAACACTTTCATTGACAAAACGCAAAGAAGGTACCAATGTGAGATTTCTAACGATAGCTACAGCACTCAACCCAAGGTTTAAGAATCTGAAGTGCCTTCCAAAATCTGAGAGGGATGAGGTATGGAGCATGCTTTCAGAAATCTTAAAAGAGCAAACACTCTGATGTGGAAATTACAGAACCCAAACCACCAAAAAAGAAAATCAATCTTCTGCTGGTGGCATCTGACTCAGATGATGAAAGTGAACATGCATCAGTATGCTCAGCTTTGGATAGTTATTGAACAGAACCCGTCATCAGCATGGATGCATGTCCCCTGGAATAGTGGTTGAAGCATGAAGGGATATATGAATCTTTAGCACATCTGGCACATAAATATCTTGTGATACTGGCTACAACAGGGCCACATGAACACCTGAATTAGTAGCACAATGACATTCTGGATGAAAGTTTATCAGGGCAGAAAAAAGACCCCCTATAAAAAGATAAGCTGTTCTTCCTTCAAGAGTTTGTTTCCTGTGATTGGTTTTCTGTCCCTGAGAGTACCATTTCCATGGATCCAGTACACTGAGAAGGAGAGGGAAATCCTTGGGGAATGAAACAATTCTTCATTTTGCTTTGAAGGAAATGTGGTATGAAGAGAATATGATGTAAGGGTCAAGGTCTGTGATCAAGAAAGAAAAATTGCTACTAAAATCACTATGATTTGCTATTTTACTGCCCTGATGTCTGGAATTATCACTCAAGCTGTGCCCTGGTCTTTAGCATTTATTATCCAACTTCAATCCTATGGTGAAATACGCCATATACTTAATTTGCCATATACTTTGCTCTGGAGATCAAGAAGATATTGGCATTGCAAGGGTATTGTGTTTGCAGCTGCTGTTCCTGCATGATCATTTCAGTAAGTTGAAAATCAACCCTGATTTGTTTTCTTCCAGACAAAAAGACCTCATCATAATTGTCTCCAATGATTATGCAACACTAGACACTGTTACCAGAATTGTTATCCACTTTAATCAAAGAAATGACAGTTTATTTTCTAAACAGAATATCAATTGCCATTGAAAAGGGGAGCTCAATCAGCAGTACAGCATTCATAAGTAACCGTAACTTGTCTTTTTTTTAAAACTGTGGAGTAGAATGAGCATTTGGGTCTGGTTTTTAAAAACCTTAAAAAAACAAAAACAAGAAGGGAAGTGTCATAGGAAAACCCTGCCCTTTGAATTCCTGAGAGCTACTGCATGAATTGTTGCACGTGCACACACACAAAACCACCAGCAATTTTTTTAATACCTTCTTAATTCTGTCTGTTAATATTCTACATATTAATACACATGCCTACAATGAAATCAGCAGCCAAAACATTAACTTTTCAAACAAACCAACCCTCAGCATATCATCTTGTTCCTTCAACGTGATAAATGTTCTGCCATGGTTTCAACATCTGCATTTTTTCTCAGCTGCAATCACGGTCACTTCCGGACAAAAACAACGAGGAGTCCTTGTGGCACCTTAGAGACTAACAAAATTTATTTATTATTAAGGTGCCACAAGGACTCTTCGTTGTTTTTGCTGATACAGACTAACATGGCTACCACTCTGAAACCTGTCACTTTCTGGACAACGATTCCTTGCACCTTTAATACAAGTGCAGGAAGCCAGTCTGTGCATGTAAGAGCACAGTGTGCAACAGAGGACATCACCAGTGGGACATGGCAAGGACTGCAAAGGCCCGACAAAACAATAAAATTGAATTTTTCTTTTTCATAGATGGACAGGTCAAACCAAACACAAATATAATGGCCTCCTAAAAAGCACAGGTATAACTGTTACAATATTTCTCTTACTATTTTTATGTCAATTCTTTGACTCTCATGCATGCTTGTTGGAATACTTCCCAGAAACAGATGAGTGTTGGGAATACATCCCAGAAACAGAAACAAGTGTTGTGACAGAATGCATTAACTCCTTTTGGCATTGACGCCAAGATGAACCAGCTAAGCATACCCAACTCTCTAGTGACTAAAACACAGCTGGAGTCTACTTCTGAATAGCTGCATACCAGTGGGAAAAATGAGAGGTAGCTACTACTTTGGTAGGTACTTTATGTTTTTTGGATGATTAGTTTGTTTTTGCCATTTTCCAACTCTGATGATGCATGCATGGCTTATTTGACATGAAAATCCATTAGTACCAAGTATCGACTGAATTCAAAAATGGAAAATTACTGCAGAAGCTACTTGAGTGAAACTGACAGTGAAAGGGAGAAAGGACTTTCCACTTGATTAAAAATAGCTTGTTACGATCAGAAATTATCTCTATTAAAAGCAATCAGAATAGTAATTATTTATAATTCTACATTAGTAATTTCATTGAGGTAAATGAGATAAAGCAGAAAAAAATTTTAAAATGCAGAAGGCGAAAAATCTTGTAAATAAGATACCCTCAATTCCACCAATATTGGTGTTTTATACCATAAGCAACTTCAGGATACAATACTGGAGATTTTTTGAGCCAAATTCTGATTTAAGATACACACTTCACATTTTCACAAGTAAAAACTGCTATTGCTCCTATACACACACACACGTCATTTTTTCAAGACAGAGTGCATACCATCTAAGCCCGTGTCCAAAGAGAAACTAGTATAGCTCAGCACTGTAGACTCAGTGCAAGAGAAGCACATCAAAAATTACTACCAAGAACCAAGTAATTTAAGAATATACTGGAACTTATCACGTCAATCAAAATTCCTTTCTAGCAGGCTCACTGGGGAAGCCTGCCAGAAATCAGTGCAATATGCAGTCGAAATAGACAAAGATTCAGTAATAATTAGTATGTCAAAAAACCCAAACCTGAGTACCACTCTAATTGTGATCTGTCCTTTCTATGCTCTCTAAATTGAGACAATTATGTTTGATGAAATTATGCATCCTCTTTACAACCATTATGTTCAACAATGGGAGCTGCAACTTAGAATGATCAGGGAGTGAATCCTCTAGTGCACTTGGAGAAATGCTGCAATTTATGTATTCACTAGAAAATTCTCCTACAAAAGACAGTAGCAAAAGTCTCACCACCATTCTAGTCCCACACATAAGGTAACAGGGCCAGAGCCCTGGTAAAGGGAAAGCCATGGTTTCACTAGGGGAGGATTCTCTTGGTGCAGGCACTGCGGAAACCCGCCAGCTGTAAGGCTGCCCTCAGAGAATCCCCGAATAAGCCCTAATGTAAGGGGCAGGAAGAGTTTGCCAGGGGCGAGAGAGGCATGTCGGGGTGGGGCAGCAGCATGCAGTGCTGCAGCCCATAGAGCAGCCCTGGGAGGTTACTGGAGCTTTAGGGTTTCTAAGTTGCATGGGAAGGGCGGGATCAAGTAGGCACAGAGATGGCTCAAAGCCACCAGTGCCCCCCCCCCACCCCCATAGACTCAGAGTTCTGTGCTGCACCTCTGAGAGAGGTACATCAAAGAATCTCACCCCAAATCTACCAAGTAACTTAAATCAATAATTAAACCAGTAAGAATGGCTTATGGACTAGAAATGGTTTTTGATTTCTGGTAGGTATGTACATACTTTTGATTGTTATTCTTGATCACCACCTAGAACTTGTTCCATTAGTAAGGGGTTGATTATTAGCATGAAAGTTTCAGTTTCTGCTGCAAAAGACCAAGGTGTGCAATACCTACCTTGAGTCCATGAAAGCTCCCTGGGCTGGTTGGTGAAGAGCTGGAGGACTTAGTAGATTTTGGAGTGGATATCTGACTGCTGGGTGTTCCATTGACTGACCAGAGCAACAAAGGCAACCAAGAGGAAGAAAAGATTATTAAAAAGATAAAAACGCAAATGCCTGTTGCAATATAATGTGCCTCTCTGAAGTATTATCTGAGTTTACTCACATAAAGACCAAATAGGACCAATCCCAGCATCTCAGAAAGAATCATAAAGTCCAATACAGTATCCTTTGCTCACTCAAACTCCCATTGGCTGGAAATTGGCTGCATCCTTTGCACATAGAAAACACTGAATTTCTATTCCGGTTTCATGAGAGCCAGTCTGCCTGTTGCCAGTGGAAGGTTTGGGTACACAAAGATAGGAGGATTGGGTCTTTAAGATGCATAATTTATTGTGGTATCATAACAAAATATTAAAGAGATACAATTCAGGTTGCCAAAATTTGACCTCCCTTTTCCTCTTCCCCATTTGCAAAGTCAACTTAATACTTTATAGGTGATTTGTGTTTTCATTTAAAATAAAATGTGTGCGTTTTGGGGACCAAACCGTAGTAGACTACAGGTTCTTAACTGAACCCTTAATAATAGAGCATTGTGTGTAGGAAAAACATTTTCCAAAAAAGTTAACATTTCAATTTTGAACTTTCAAGGAGCTCCTATAAGCATCAATGAGAAAATTCTCAGAGGACAGAAAAATTCTTCCTCCCCACAACCTCTGATGTCAAGAACCTACCCATTTTAACCCCTCTAATTATTCAGGACCTAATAAAACCTCCACTGTACTCCTATTGGCTTGAGGGGCAGTTAGCTCAGGTCCTACATTCTTCCAAAAAAGGGCTAAATCGGTGTCATTCATAAGATTGACCAAAGGAGTCTCTATTAAATGATGAAATGTATTGCTTCTGCATCCAATCCTTGTTTGCCCAAGGAGAGGAAAAACTGATCAGGAAACTAAAGAGCAAAAAAAAAAAAAAAAACACAACACTTCACAGTGGGAGGAAGTTTCTCCTTTAAGAAAACCAAAAACCTGCCAACAAGACATTTTGTTTCCATGGAAACACAAGTAACCACCTACAATTTTTCAGATGTGTGAAGAATTTCTCTAATGGGCTATGCACTACTCTTTTAAGCACCACCATTGTTTTTTGCTGTGCGAATGCCAGCCAACATACAATACTGACCTTCTCTGGGAACTGAGGAGTCTTCCTACACAGCTCTATTTTATTTTGTAATGCTTGAACAGTTTTGATCTCAGTGGTTACTGTGACTACACAGCAGCTCCACAGCCTTAACAAATGATCCTCCCGAATGTGCATGATGCTAGGTTAAAAATTAAGCACCATTTATCTAGGGAATCGGTCTTCTTGGAATCTGATGACCATCCCAGTTCTATTCCTGACTCTGCTATTGAATCACTAAGGGGTTGATCCTACATTGCTAACATCAATGAAAGTTTTACCATTGGCTTTAACGAGAGCAGGACCAAGCACCTTATGACCCCGGACAAGTCACTCTGAAGGAGATTTTCAAAAACATCTAAATGGAGCACAAGTCCCACTGAATGTCCCTTAGGGTCTTGGGAAGATCTCCTCTCTCTCTGTTACTCAGACATCCCTTCCACAAAATGGGGATAATAAAGCTTCCTTAACTTCGTAAATTGCATGAAAAGGCTTAAGTGTTAGTTATTATTTTATACTGTACTTCCTGGAAAGCCATATAAGAACTTCAATTTTAAAATTCTATAGCAGTAAAACAAAAAACAAAAACAAAAAAAACAGCCTGTGAACATAAAAGAAGGTTGTCTAGAGAATTCTGCCTGAAATCAGCTAAGTAGTGCTATAGGAGCAGAAATTGTCACTTTTATTCAGAAACTCATTTTACATAGTTTATAGGAAGCTCACAATCTTGTGCCTGCCTTGGTATGTTTGGGCAGCCCTGCCTATGTGATAACTTTTACGTAGGTTTGTAACCAGTTAGTACCATATTTGTCTCTAAACCATTACATGCACAACATGGTAAACACTTAGTCACTGTGACAGCTGACCATATTTTGCCATTGTCAGAGGCCTAGGCCGGGACATGGTTGTCTCCCTCTAACTCATAAAACTCAGGTTAGGTGTGGAAAGGACCCCTAACCAGGTCTGTGCAATGGTTTGCCAACTGGTTTTCCTTCCTCCCAGCAATCTGAAGTAAGACATCCCAGAGTACATTGCCCCTTGGCTGCTGGTGTTGTTCTGCATGCTGCTCTCCCCCGACTCTAATCCCTTGCAGATGCAGTATAGGATAGCTGCCCAGAGATGTTTAGTAGCTACACAGTATTGTGCTGGAGACAACACAAGAAGAGACTGACCTGTGGATAGATCTCAACCATGTTTTCTGCAACCACTCTGGATGAGTGCTAGAACATAGTTGTAACTCCAGTGAGAACAGATCCGTAGGGCCCAATCCTGGGGGGAGGGGCTGAGCCCCCTCAGCTCCCAAGAAGTGGAGATGTCACATGGACGGACTTTAAGGAAAAGGAGGAAAGCAGCTGCCAATTGAAACTGCAATACCTTCCTTTGACATTCTCAATAAAAAGAGAGTCAGTAATACTTATGTATTTCTAACTTGTTTGTTGCTGCTGATTGTTGCGTGTGTACACAAAGCTTTTCTTTTCTAAATCAGTTCTCCAGCTGTAGGCACTTTAGGAGCAGGGTTTGTGTCTTTCTATATAATGTGTGGCAGCAGCAAGCACATTTTGAGTATGAGTTATAATACAAATAAATACATTTACTTTTCCCCAGTTCCTTAAATGGAATATGCAATGCCACAATTAAACAACACTAGAAGAGTTTTTAAATTTGTATTTCCAGTGTGGTTCAATATTGTAAGCCACTTGCCAATTAAGAATATATATATTTATGTGGGAAATGGAGGTGGTTGGGGTTTTTTTGTTTAGGATACGGCTGACCCATTTTTGCACATAAATATATTGTCAGATTGTGGATCTAGGACTTAGACTTAAACAGCAGAGATCCAAGAAAAATTATATTTATTTCATTTGCTTCACAAAAAGTTGGAAAACACAGGGCCTGACTTGTTCTGATGCAAGTTAGTAGCAAATCAGTCCCACATTATTCTGAATTTAGCTACATTTTCAGCAATTCTCAGTCTCAGCTCCAGCTAATTTTGTCTGGTGGTGTTGGTTAAAATTTCTCATTATCACACACTCTAGAATGACTATATATATTCATGGCTTGGAAGGCTGCTTCTCTATATATAGTCAAATTATACCTTAATAAATCTAATTTTACTGCACTGTCTGCAGATGTCTGGCAGTTACAAGCATCACTCACACTCTCAAAGACCTACAGTAACAAGTAGGATAGATCCAATGTGCTTTTGTTTTCCAGAGCACAAAATGTGTGTGGCAAACTGTAATACATTCATGGAAATGGAGAGAAGGGTAAATGGAAAGGTAAGAGGCACGATGGTGAGATAAAGCCATAATAATAATGGCTCACCTGGGGATTTTGCTGTAGAATAAGCACTGGAGTAGTGGCCACCCCTCTTTACTGCACTCATTCATTTGACACAAAGGAGAAAGACATTAAGGAGAGAAGTTATTCAGCATACACACAAAGGAAGAAGGGTAAATGCACAAGCAACAACCACCACCAAAAACTGAAAGGGAAAGTATAAGCATAAATACCAAACAATTTGGGGTAAAAACCTCAAATCACCTAAGTGATCAAGGTGCCAAAGTCCCAATCATGATTTCAGAGCCTAGAGTCCCATTAAAAGACATTCAATAGGACTGAGGCTCCTAAGTCACTTTTGAAAACAGGACATTTGGCACCTCAACCACTTAAGCACTTTTGAAATTTTTACCCTTTGTTTTTATGTAAAGGTTTGAGCAGAATAAAGTTGTAGACTGAAAACTTTGGTGCACGACCTGTCTACTTGGGTATGTGGACATTGCTTGGCACATTCTGAGCTTTATTAGAGTATAAATAAATCATAAAATGAAAATATTAGTACTAATCACTACATTTTGAACTAAATTAATTGAAGAGTTACACCCCATACAATCCCAATGAAGTTAACAGGCTTGCATAATGTATGTGTACATCAGTTATGAAATCAGACTTTTATGTACTGCCCTTTCTTTTCTTATGATTACAGTTGTTCTCTGAAACTAAAAAAAATCCTACTTTTACTTGTGACACAAAAGACACAAAATGACAATGAAAATCACTCTAGCAAGGCAGTAAATATTGATTTGAAAATAAGAAAATAGGATCATATTCTGGCTTTGATACGCACACAGGAGCTGCACATATAACCACAATCAGAGCATGGCACTATATATTTTAATATCCAATGGCTCAATGCCAGTGTCACTTTTCTCCAGTGGAGAGAAAAAACATTTGAATTTTGCTGTATTTTGGGGTGGGGATGAGGGAAAACCACAATAACTTGTGAGGTAAAAAGTAAAAGCAAAAATTCCCATTTTTCTCATTTTCAAGTAAAAATACCCAATGCTTGGAAATGTGCTATTCAGTCAGACTAGCAGCAGGTGAAGAGACAATTTGGACATTACTATAAAATGACAGGAAGTATGAGAAGAAAAGGTGTTTATGCAATTTCACAGGACAACTTACAACAGCTCAAAGAAGCAAACTGCTATGTTTTGACAGTGTTCAATATATGAAAGGGGAAAAACCCTAAATTGGAAACACAGAAGGGTATATTTTTAATGTAATGAATGAGGATTTAACCAGATGATCCCATTTCAGTTAATAGGGGTCTTCTGCAAATCCAACCCCATGCTGAAAATTTATCCTTAAATGTACAATTAGCACAAGCCACTGTAAACATTCACAAATTCAAACCTTTTTGGCTTATAATGAAAAAGAATCTCTTTTCTTTACAGGGTGCAGAATAAATGCATTTCAGTGTATAAAATCTATGTGGCATAACTTGGCGTTTCAGGTTCTTCATCATGAAATACATGACATTTCCACTTCATAAAAAGATGGCAATCAAATTACAAGTTTCATATGCTCTGAATATTCAGCTATTTTCTTATAATTGTACCTGAAGCAGGTGACTTGCTTCGACGTGAGGGTCCTGGGCTTTTGGATCCAGATTGTCTTGGTGTACCAGGTGAACGGGAATATGACGACTTCATAACACGACATTCTGGAAGGAAACAGATGGAGTTTGGAAAATATTTAAGTGTACGGATTCAATTCTAAATCAGACCACCTACGGTAGTAGTTATATTGCCCATGAAATAAACTTACATTTTCCAAACATTTCTGCCAAATTAAAACAAAACTAATTTACAGAAGAATCCAAAAAAACTTTAACCCACATACTATATAAATTCTGTTTTGAACTGGCCAAATACTGAAATATTCTGAATGCAGTACTTCTCCATGCCTTGAAGTTGGATTCATAGTACAATTCAAATTTGTATCTAGACATATGTGAGACAGTGAAGTGGATGGAGTGGTTCTTCTGATGCCTCACCAACCTCTGTAATGACAGTTCTATATAATACAGCATCACACATGCTGGAACACATGTTAACACACTGGAAATCTTGTTAACTGGACTGAAACCTGCGCCTTCTGCCTCTTCAAGCCAATTTCATTTTAGCCTAACTCTAAGACAGTTGGGTTATTTTTGCCAGAAGTGCAGTGCCATTCCTACCAATTTTCAGAGGAAGTGAGAAATGCCTGCGGACACCAAAGGGCAGAGCCAATAAAGTTATCTTCTCCCACCCACCTATCACCTACATCTATTAATAAAGGGAAGCCAAAGACAAAAGGAACCAATATTCACACACACATTGCCTTCTTGGGAAGTTTTTCATTCCTGCAGTTAACACCCATTACTAAACTTTCACCATCTGTCTCAGTTAGACCAATTTTCCTCCCCATTTCCCAAATGCCATCAATTCAACCCAACCCACCAACAAATGAATTTACACATGCCACTGGATCAATTTATCAAAATCAAATACAAAATGATTCAAATCCCCACGAAACAAAGTCAACCCTGCTTATGCCAAACAACCTTCCTCCCGTATTACCAAATCAATTCAAACCTTCCTGCCCTCTTCACTTCTCCAGGCCCCTATTTTACCATCCTCAGGCTATTCTGTCCCATGATACATTACTACTTCTTTCCAAACCAATTAAGATTGTCCCAACCCATCTAATTCACAGGGCCTCTCCATGACTTCAGTTGCTTCCATTTACATGCTCCAGGCAAGGGTGGCAGGGCTTAGACTAGGATCCCTATACTCTTTCCACCACTTGCTTCAAGGGAGACACAGCCATTTAGTTCTCACACCAGACCACTAGCGTCCAGCTTTTGGGTCTATTCTCAGACTCCTGCCTCTCCTGCTGTGTCTCCAGCATTTGACCAGCTACGAAGGGTGGACAGGATTAGTGACTGCTCCCCACTCCCCAGCCCCCACGCCAGACCATTAAGTTCTATTGCTGACCCTGAACTACCCTTCTCTTCCACTGAGACCTCCCCAGAGTTACTGCAGCTTCTAAGCAAAGAGCCCAACTCAGATAGCCTGGGTGTGAGGTACTGGGGAGAGGGAGAACTGATGGACTGGGGCTGGAAGGTAAACTATGGCCTTGTCTAGACTATAATTTGGAAGATATTAGTTAACATGTCAGCTCTCCTCTCAGGCCTGTGTGAGGTTAAAGCTTCAAGCTCGACCTGTCCAATTCATGTTAAAGGCATGCTGCCTTGTCTACACTAGGCTGTTAATACATGCTAGCTAATACTTTCCAAATCCAAGCCCAGACAAGTCCTAATGGATTCAGGGGAGAGGGACCAATGGAAAGCAAGGAAAAATAGAATTAATGCATTAGATGAAACGGAGATAATTAAAGTAAGACTAATAGTTGCGGGGTGGGGGTGAGGAAACCACTTTTAGATCTTGACATCGTCTTCAGGCTTTTTGCATTACCAGTGCAGGCCGCTCAGTCTCACATAGGCCTGAGAGCAGAGCTGATGGGGAAGGCCACCAGGATTAGAGTTGGTCGCAATTTTTTCCCGCAACAATAAAATTTTCATTTTTGTCAAAAATAATTCAGGTGTTTATAGCAAAAAACAAATTGAGAGAGAGGAAAAACGTTTTTTTCACACAGCCTAAAACACTCCCTGAATGATCTGTGGGCATTTCATAAGGAGACCAATGCCAAGCATCCTCTCTTCATAAGTATTTTCATTCAAGGGAGGGTAATTTGGTTCGGTAGCTGAACCAGTGTCAAGACACTGGAAGAACCAAGGAGGCAGATCACTCACAATAAGGAGAAAAAATAATTAGAAACTAAGCTTTGCCAGCCTAACACAGGATCTGGCAACAGTACTCTCCTAGATTCTGATAACCGCATTTCCATGAGACTTGGAATATTTCGAATATTAAAGATGCATAATGAGATGTGCTGGTGAGAGAAACTGTGCAATAAATAGTGTAAATCTGTCTCAAATTTCAGCATAAATAATTTCACATTACTTGAGATTCCAAATTGAATAATCTTTGCAGAAATTCTAAAACTACCTTTGAATTTACATTATAGGGTTTCTCTCTTTATTGGAAAACAACTTTCTAGCAGCTAACACAGAGCCAGGGTATAAATATCTACTGATGTAAAGAAAGCATGCGTGCACAAGCTCATTCTTCTCTATGAGTTTACAATAAAATAATAAATCAGTTCTGTTCATATAAACTGACTAAGATGCAGGTTTTTAATAGACTTTTGGAATGAATGGGATAATTCTTGTAGGTCTGCAAACAGCTACATATGTGATTTTTGAGAAAAAAAAAAAAAAAAAAAACACACCACCACCAACAACTCAAAACAGGAACACGGGGACCAAGTTAGAACCCACCAAAGTCAGTGGAAATATTCTTATTGACTTCAGTGATCAGGCCTTTGAAGCAGATTAAAAGCACCCTTTTCAAAGTCCACTGCCGTTCACCATATCCTTTTAAGTACAAGGTCCGTTGCCCATGAAGAATAAACCAGGTTTACAAAACGCACTCTGACAAATGGACTGGAGCTAAACTAGTGTTTGGAAAATTATTTTATTAAAGAAACATGTTCAGTAGAAAAAATTATTTCAATAAGTTTCTCCAAAAACACTTTTGAATCAGGAAGGGGAAAAAAGGGGGGAGTTCAGGGAGAATTGAACATTTCAATAGGTTTAAACTAGCCTTACCACTATGATCCAGTACAAAGTCATCTTGAGCATAACGATATTTCTCAGGTCCGCAGGCAATGAAAACATCATCATCTCCAAAAAAGTCCTGCAAGCAGGTAACCTAAAAGCCAAAATAAGTAAGAAAGTGTGCAAAATATTTCCAAGATGAAGTCAATAGCTAGACAGCTAACAAAACCCAACAAATCTGTACTTTCTTTTCACAGTTCTGTGACTCCCTACAACACTGGGTATCATATGTTTTTTTCACAATGACAGACGCTTACCAGTTTTCAAGTACTATAGAGCAGTGGTTTTCAACTAGGGGTACATGTACCCCTGGGGGTACACAGAGGTCTTCCAGGAGGTACATCCACTCATCTAGATATTTGCCTAGTTTCACAACAGGTTACATAAAAAGCACTAGCGAAGTCAGTACAAACTAAAATTTCATACAGACAATATGAGAAAGTAAGGAATTTTTCAGTAATAATGTGCTGTGACACTTTCGTATTTTTATGTCCGATTTTGTAAGCAAGTAGTTTTTAAATGTGCTGAAACTTGGGCGTACACAAGCCAAATCTGACTCCTGAAAGAAGTACAGAAGTCTGGAAAGGTTGAGAACCACTGCTGTAGAGTCATTCTTAAAGTAAACAAGCCAGAAAACTTCAATGTCAAAAATGTAAACTACACAATTTTTAAATAAGTAGCCTTCACTGACACTAGCATACATATAATCATTTATAATTGGGTGTAAATATTTATGGCTTTGACGGAAATGACTACAAGACATTATTGAACTGTCAAAGTTGACATTTATATTTAAAATTTCCAAATTAATTATTCACAGGAAAATCCTTCTTCCAAAATTACTCACATTACTCCCATTATAACCAAAAAGTGTTCCTACATTTCTGTTTGTTTTCAGAGTGGCATTTTAATAATATAAAAGATTATTAAAGTATGTTTTTACCAAATAGTTATAACAAATTAAAAATTGTTTCCTTTTTACTAAAATCTATTCACTAGTACAATAATATGCAAATCATAAATACAAGTTAGACTGAGTGAAGCTTTGTACTTAAAAAAAAAAATTCAATATCAGCGGTGTGATATCTATGGATGAAAAGCACTATAAGAACGAAGTGTTATAGATAGGTATTGAGGGAGTTAAGATTTCTCAGCAGTATTCATACTAAACACTTTAACAAATAGCTATTTATCTGAAACTTGAACAAGGAATAAACAACGCAATTTAGTATGAAAAATACCACACAAAAACAAAAACTGTTTGTGTGGAAGGTGTTCTATGAAATAAACTGTATACCAAAACATTCTGTAGAGTACAATAATAGAGGAACAGAGTACAAAAAACGTAATAGTATGTGCGCCTGTAAAGTAAATATTGCCAAATCTTCAGCTATGGCCATTGCATTGAAAATGGCAATATGTATCCAGGCAGTGACCCTTTCAGATCCTGAGAAGCAGAGGGAAAGAAAAAGGACTTTGAGTGCAAGAAATACACGTGGACAAAGTAGGTACAGGACAACAGGCTCTTCTGCAGATGCAGGCACCTTTGGTCTAATTCTGTTTCTATCAGAGTCAAAGTAAAGTTCCTGTTGATTTCAATGGGGCAAGGATCTGAACCATTGTCTGTAGTGGGGAGCAACTCCACGTGAGAGTATTCTTTTTAGAGAATCTTATAATCATTATATAGACGTGTGTCACTGGGACTTTAGAACTTGCTACAGTGCATTTTAAATCCTGTCCTTTCACTCACATCCTGAGTCCTAATGTCAGAGGTAAATAATCAGATCTAGTAAACAAGTGAAAATATAGGGACGGATTTTCAGATGCATTCAGCATTGATCTGTCTCTGCTCCCACTGAAATCAGTGGAATCACTGACTTAAATGGGAGTTGAGTTAGGCCTATCCTGAGCAACCTTAAGTATTACAGTGGTGGGGGGAAAGCCTTTGAAACAGATTTAAGAGCAAACATTCATACAAAATGAAGTTTACATGGCCAGTATTTTTCTGTATTCCTTATGCTGTTATTAAAGCAACACTGTTTAAGAAGTGTCTCCCCATACCCCTCACAGCTTAGCTTCACCCTGATCCTGAAGTCAGGACATAAAATCCTTGCACTAATTGCAACACAATCTATTAGCAGGGAAAGGACTATGGTATTATGAATACAAATATTAGGACTTCATTACCCAATCAAATATCAGGAGAGGATGGCTTGACAGAGAACAAGCTCTCTTTAAAAAAACAAACAAAAAAAAAAAAAACAGCGCAGAAGGAAACTCCAAGCAATGTTCATTTGCAAACACAGAAAGGAAAAGTGGGAAGAGCTCTGAAGAGTAAGTCCCTCTTTAACATTACAAATGCTGCAACAGCTAGGAGAGCTGTAACCACTTAGCAAGATTAAAATAATTTTGTACTGTAATAAAGAGCTCAAAAACTACTGTTACTAAGGAATGGACTTTTTCCTTCTGGTCCAGCTGCCCAACAATAAAGTTTGCATATATTGGCCACTGTGATAATAGTAAATATTGGCTGATGTACAGGAAGGGTTTCTAGTGCCTGCAGTAGAAAGACACTCAGAATATCAATGACTCAGCTGCCTGCAAGATCATTCAAACAAGGCATTCACAAGCTGTGCAGTTGTCATGGCAGCTAAAACAGTGATAACAGTATGTTGCTCTTACACTAAGATTCTCAATACACTAAAACATGCAGTCTAGAACATGTGTTTGATTCTATTACGAAGCTCACTCGTACAACACTCCCTCCACCAAATGACAAAACTTATTTATTTTTACTTTATCACCGTAACAATAAATGTCTAGTGTCATTGACTGGAGACTATTTGACCTATACTTAATATTGATGCTTTTAGTTTAAATGAAAAGGCAATGACACCTGGAATCACAATGACTGAATATTTCAGAAAGTAGTTTTATTAAGATTGGACTGATTTTCCTCTTTTCTTATCTTTTTAAATAAATACATATGCCAAAAGGTAGAAGTTGCTTCTTTGCCCAGACTTTTGAAACAAAATATGTTTTTAAGAGACCACCATCTTTAACATAAATCCTTCCCATTGGGGGGGAATCATTCCTTCATAGAAAAATATGGAAGTGGCACTGGGTGAAAGGGCAGCTGCGAGAAAAACCTTCAGAGTTTTCAGTTCAGGCCTGGGGGGAAAAGCTGCCCCTCACCCACAATTGGAGGTTGGGGGATCATAGGACATAGGATCATAGATTATTAGGGTTAGAAGGGACCTCAGGAGATCATCTAGTCCAACCCCCTGCTCAAAGCAGGATCAATCTCCAACTAAATCCCCAAATGGCTCCCTCAAGGATTGAACTCACAACCCTGGGTTTAGCAGGCCAATGCTCAAACCACTGAGCTATCCCTCCCCCCCCCGTTTCCTTATCTGGGAAGGAGGCCTTCCCCTCCATTTTCTTATCTGGGAAGGAGGCCTTAAAATGCTGTCATGGTTAACGCTTGTTAAAACAGTATTAATTCCCTCATCTCTGAATGGATTAGGAATTATCAGCAACAGTGGCAGCATGCATGGCACCATAAACCAGCTATACTGCTGGTGGCGGGGTCATGCAGGAATTAGGTAGAGAGATTTCACCTCTGTGTGTTTGGTCAAAGAGCTATGGATCTTGAGCCAGAGTCTGATGCAGATGCCTGCCTCTTCTATGTGGCCTCCAACCGTAAGTCACAGAAGGGAAAGAAGCACTGCAGCAATTTTGCTTTTAATATACACTGTTTATTTTTATTCACTGGTAGGTGCACAATCAAGTCACAATTACAAACATGGATACAGAAACGCAAGTATAGTAGATATTCAGCTACACCAGCGAATATTATAATCCAACAGTGACAGATTCAAAGTAACAAGCTTCAATTATTTATTAGCACAGGGGTTCTCAAACTTCATTGCACCGCAACCCCCTTCTAACAACAAAAATTACTACATGACCCCAGAAACGGGGACTGAAGCCTGCGCCCCACCATCCCAGAAGGGGGCAATGCCAAAGCCCATGGGCTTCATCCCCAGGCAAGGGGCCTATAAACTAGCCCAGCTGCCCAGGGTTGAAGCTCTTGGGCTGCGGGCCCCAGCAACTCTAAGTCAGCCCTGGCAACCCCATTAGAATGTGGTCATGACCCACTTTGGGGGGTCCCGACCCAGTTTGAGAGCCGTTGTATTAGCATATGGCTGAGACACATCTCTGGAATAACGACTTCCCCTCTTCCCTCATCAAAGGGGCTGGTATAACCCTACCTTGTTTACAAAATTTAAAAAGTGTGAAAAGACAAAAACCATTTATTTAGCAAGAATTGAAAGGCGTATCACTTATCCAGTCAAACAATCAAATAGTGAGTTAAAGGCTAAATATTTTAAAATAAAAATTCTGGAATGCTCCTGTTTTCCTGGAAAATTGGGCTAATTTCTTTTCTGTCTACCTAGTTATTTGTATCGCCTTGTCACCATAATATCCAAACAGCGCCCCCCAAAAAATACTAAAATAAACTCATCACCTGCAGAAGAAATTTTTGACTTTTCTAATACAAAGGAGTTTAAGTAGGTGATTTTGACTAAGAAGAGCTATTGAGGGAAAGATAAGTCAAATAAATGGTTTGTGTTTACTTTAAATGCCGCAAGGTCCAAAAGTCAAATATATTGTTTCATTTTTTTAAAATTATACCTCAACCTTTTGCTGTTTTGAAAGAGATTCATCAACGTAGAGATTTTATTAAAAGATACACTTTTCCCCAGTTTCCTCAGCATCTACTATGCAGAAAATCCTTTGAATGAAATGTGTTGGTGGGTAGTCCAATATGAAAAGCATGTCAGCTATTCACGTTATTTAAGCATCAAAATGTGGTCTGTGAAAGTGGTTAAATGCACACCCGTTACTAGGATAACAATCTGGCTATGGGAGCAAATGCCGGTTATGCAAACCTGGGTGTCGCTGAAAACAAGTGTTCAATTCAAAAAAAATTTCATAACAACAGAAGATCAGTCAGTGTGCAGTCATTTAATGCAATAAAGATGGCAACAACAGTGCTGCACATAAGCAAGTCATAGCAATGCGTGATGT